CGGGGAGATTCTGCAGGGGAGAATTGCGCACCTGGTCCTGCTGTAGCCCTGAGCAAGGCTCAGGACTGAGTAGCCAGTTGGCTGGACTATCCCTCAGTGGGGCTGTGGCTCTGCGGTTGGGGCATTTGTCCTCTTCCCTGTCCCAGGAGTGAGATGAAGCGCTGGATGACCTCGCTGGCCCCCAACCGGAGAACCAAGTTTGTTTCCTTCACATCCAGGCTGCTAGGTAAGTGGCCTCTGGGATGAGGACACCTCTGGGTGGGACAGTGAGGCCTCCATAGCATCAGCCTCAGGTGCTTCCTGAGCCCGTCTTCCCAGAGGCCCGCGTGGCCTCCGGGGTACCCGCTTCCACTGCCGGGGGGAGCCCCAGGTGCCAGCTGCTAGCTTAGTGCCTGATGGAGGTGCTCAGTGTGCTGAGCTTGGCCCCTGCTCGCGCGGTTACTGAAGGGGTAAGTCCCTGGGTCGAAGTGACAGGCACTGCAAGGAAGCCGCGAGGAGCCTGGGCCCAGAAGGCAGACGTGGTGTTCTTTGGGGTCACGGGTGTCTGAAAACCTCAGAAAACATGGAAGGGCGCTAGTCCAGCTGCCTGCCGGGAAGCTGCCATGCCCGGCTGCTCGCTGTACCCTGGGCACCTCATACTTCCTCCCAGGGCCCGTGCACATTCTTGAAGTCCCCTTGGAAGGAAGCCTCGAATAAGAGCCCACCCAGCCCACCCACCCTTTGTGCATGTTGTCTCCGGGTCCCCGGCCAGCCCAACTTCATTTTTTCTGGAGCCAAGGCTCCTCCCTCAAATGACTCCTTTTCAGTTGCTGCAAGACAAGCAGCGTCCAGGGGTGGCTGGGTAGGGGGCAGGGTGGTGACGCTGTGACGCTGCAATGCAGACAGGCTGCCTCCCTCCCTTCCCTCCAGATTGCCCCCAGGTCCAGTGTGTTCACCCGTATGTGGCCCAGCAGCCCGACGAGCTGACGCTGGAGCTGGCCGACATCCTTAACATCCTGGACAAGACGGAAGACGGTAAGGCAGGGGCTGGGTGCGGCGCCCACCGGTGCCTCAGGACTGTGCTGCTGGCCTGCACCAGCCCGAGGATGCAGTGCCCCCCGGGTGGAAAAGCTGGCTGCCGGGCAGGCAAGCCCAGGCCCTGGCACGTCATGCTCCCCCAGACCACCCCGCCCGCCCTGACTTCCCCAGCTTCTCCCAGGGCCTCCTCCCCAGACCAGTGGGGGCTGTCTCCACCTTCGCCCCAGGCCCTGCCCAGCACCGGCTCTGTGCCGTCCCCTCCGATGGCCACGGGCTTGGCCCACCTATCAGGCGGAAGGAAGGACAGCCAGGAACACCCTCACCCTGACCCCAGCCCCTGTATTTGCAACAAGCTTCCAGGTGACCCTGTGACCACCAGGCTTAGAGCCCCATGTGGGCCAGGGAGCTGCCCACCGAGCTCCTACCCAGGGCCAAGTGAGGTTCATATCCCTTCCTCAAAACACTGACCCCTTATTTCTACAACAGAATCCCTGAAACTGCACAGAGCACCCCCCTTCCCAGAATCCTCCTCCCCTTTGAGGTCCTGGCTGGAAGGCCTCTGGCTGGTGACGTCCAAGGGAGGCCACTTGCACTGGTTCCAAACTCCAGGGGCTCACCTGGCATTGGAAGAGCAGAGTCCATAACCCCCCTCCCCCAGAATAAACCAGCGCGCACCCGTCCCCCGTGGCCTGCAGAGTGTGTGCTGGGAACTGCAATGGGACCTGTACTGCCGGGCAGCCTGTGGGTGCTGGGGGGGGACCCAGGGCACCGTGCCGACCACCTGCCCCTTGGAGGCTGAGAGGCTGGGGGGGGTGGCCCAACAAGAGCGATGTGACCCTCTGAGCCCGGTGCCACCAATCAGCAAACCCCCACCCCCCACAGGATGATTCAGTATCTCTTGCTTTTAGGGGTGGCCCTGGGGGTCTCCCGACATCCTGTGGGACAGCCTGGGGCTGAGGGCTTGGGAGCAGGTCCCAAAGTCAATATGCTTGGAACACACTGTGGCACACAGAGCAGCTGGTCGCATCACAGCCACACGCACACGCACACACCGTGCTCCCTGGGGTGGTGTCAGGGCTTTGCCTCCCCAGTGAGTGGGGGGCCAACCACATCTGAGGGTCTCCAGTGGGGGTTTCAGAGCAGGTGCCTCTGGACAGGCCCTCCAGACTCCTGTCTCTCTGGCCCCTGTGCAGGGGTTGGGGTGGGGGAGGCCCCGCTGGGCCCCCCCTGAGCCTCCCCTCCCCTCCCCAAACAGGGTGGGTCTTTGGCGAGCGTCTGCACGACCAGGAGAGAGGCTGGTTCCCCAGCAACATGACCGAGGAGATCCTGAATCCCAAGATCCGATCGCAGAACCTCAAGGAATGTTTCCGGGTACACAAGATGGAGGACCCTCAGCGCAGCCAGAACAAGGACCGCAGGAAGCTGGGCAGCCGGAACCGGCAATGACCCCCTGCTCCCAGCCGGGCTAGGGTGTGGGTGGGTGGGAGCAGGGCCTGGTGGGCCAACCCGTGGACCATGGAGGGGCTCTGGGGACAGGTGACTTTGTGCGGGGGTCACTCTCGCCTGCATCCCTGGCACGTGTGAATGCTCATGCGTCTTGGCCCCTTGCTTGCAAACTGGAGAAGCGGTGCCCACGCCCTTCCTCTGAGGCATTTGCAAACGAGAAAGTGTATTTTAAACAGTATTACACCGTCCCTCCCTCTCTTCTCTTAGAGGGGGTAGACGAGGATTGGCCTGCTCCAGGGGCCTGGCCAGGCACTGGAAGAGGCCCGGGCCGGGCGTCCCTGGCCCAGGGCAGGTGCGAGGGCGGTGACTGCCATGACCCCCTGCACGCACCCTTCTCCACCCAGAAGCCGTTTGAATCCACCAGGCTCACTGCTGTCACCTGGTGAGCTTGCCAAGTGGCCCTCAGTCCCCAGTTTATGAGACCGAGAGACCAACTGCCTCTGTCCCCCCCGCCATCCCCTGGCTGTGCGGCCAGGCCCTGCCTCATGGCAGGCCGGCCTCCCAGAGCCTGGCTGAGGGTCCTGCTGCCTCTGGCTCCCTGATGGGCCGGCTGTACCTTATGTCTTCTGGCCCTTTAGGGGGCTCGGGTATTGTAAGGAATGAACTGGTCACTGCATCCTGTATTGGTTATGGTTCCAAGGAAAGCAAATACCATTTTTGGCTGCATTAAAAGAAGCATCATGTATGAAATAAAGGAGGTGAAGTTCTATTCTTTATTGCCCAGCCGCACACAGGAATGAGGCGTTTGGTTCCGGACGGGGAGCCCCCTCCCGGGTCAGTGGAAGAGGCAGATCCCGAAGGAGGGGTTAGGCGGCCTCCAGGCGGGAAGGGGGCCTCTGGGGTCGGGGCCTCCGCTTGTTCCAGGACTTCGGAAATGCCAGGGTGTTTGAGGGAGCTGGGGATGCCCTGTGAGAACACGGGTTTGGAAGGCCACAGGGGGACTGAGGTGTCAGTGAGTAGTGGTCCTACAGGGAGTCGGACCCAGGCAGGGGCCGGGGCTTCCCACCTGGCCAGTCACTGAGCTGAGACACTCCTCCCCACCTGCAGGGACAGTGACCAGTTACCCAGAGGCTGCAGCTCCTCCCCCAACCCTCAGCCACCCCACCGTCACCCCGTTCTGTCCCCGCCCAGCCCCACCCCACTGGGAGCCTGCTCTCTCGGCCAGGACTCCCTTTGCTCTGCGCCTGGACAGGCCTCCTGTTAGAAGCCCGTGGTTGAGATTCAGTGGGACTTTGTGGGTCCTTCCCACAGGCCATGGCATGGCCCTTGGTGTCCCTGAGGCCCCAGGTCCTCTGAGAACCACAGGAGTCCTGCAAGATGCGCACACCCGAAACACGCTGGTTCACGCCCGGGGGCTGCCCCTGGCCCTGGGGAGGGACCGAAGCCCTGTGCCTGACGGAGCGCCCGGCAGCCCCACCTGGGTTCCCAGGACTGAGGGAAGTGGGAGAGGGGCCAATTCGGAGCCCTCTGCTGCAGGCGGAGGGGGGCGGGGATAGTGGCAGCCCCGCCCAGCCTTCCTTTTGAAGCTGGGAGACAGCTTGCTGCCTTGGGTCATGTGTGTGCAAAGCAGGGTTTTGGCCACTGGAGGTTCTTTGTGAAATGAAGTGTTTGAAACAGTTTCATGAAAACTGGCCAGGTTCATGACAGTCCTTTATCAGCAGAAAAGTGTGGCCAGTGATGTGCTTTGGGCAGAGTGTGTGTGTGGCCACCACCTGCCATCATCTGGAGTATCCAGGGGAAAACTGGTCTTCGCAGGAACAGGTGTGGCCGGGAGGTCAGGGAACGGAAGGGGCCAGGCAGCTGCTGCAACAGTGGTGGGAAGAGGAGGAGGAGCAGCTGCCTGTGCCCACCGCCCATGCTAGGGACCTCCTGGGCCCTCCTGGGCCCGAGGTGTTTGCCGGAAGTCTCGCCTCCAGGTGTCCTCACTCTGAAAGACCCTTCCGTTGGAAGGACATAGTATGGCTTCTTCCCTGCTGTGCCCAGAGTGGCCAGGAAATAATTTAAATCTCTGCATTGAAAATGCTAGGATCCTGGAGAAGTGTGGGAGACAGGGCCTGATCAGAATCAGTAGAGCCGGGGCCGAGCTGGGCGCTGTGGGCAACTGGGTGGCTGGGGGCGAGATGGGCCACCCTCCCTACATCCAATCAGCTGCCCTGGGTGGGGCTGCGAGGCCCTAGGCTCCTGTGAAGCCCAGCCTTGGGGGCCTGCCTGGGATTGCGGGTACCAGGCTAGGCGACGGCTCCAGGCTGACCAGCTCCGGGGCTTCCTGGGGTGGAGGGGTCCCCGAGGCGGAACAAAGGGCACCAGGATCCGCACCCGGCGGCCCGGCCCTGCGCACACACGTGTGGCTCCTGCGGGCACCCAGGCCACGTGCACAACAGGTCACGAGGTGTCACCCTCCCCCACTCACCACACGCTCAGGTGTACACACTTGAGACCCAGGCGCTTCCGGCGAGAATGTGGCCCCTTTATTCGCTTCAGGAGGCAGAAAACTTTCTCAGCGCAACGACCACGAGCGCCAGCACCACGCAGGTGGCCAGCAGGGCGGCGATGACTATCGCTGCGATGGCGCCGGGCCCCAGCGAGCCTGCAAGTACGGGGAGCCGCATCAGCCCGGGTCCAACCCGCCCTCCGCCTTCCCTTCCGCCCTCTGCCTTCCGCCTTCGCCCCTGCACCCCGCCCTCGCCCACCCACTGCATACCCCCGCTGTGGTCCAGATGCTCATGTGCAGTGCTGTCCTCCGGGCTCGGCGGGGCGGTGGCGCCGGGGGGAACCGAGGCCTCAGGCTCCCGGGCTGGGCTGGTGCTTTCCATGGGACCTTCTCCGGAGGGCAGCTCAGCAGGCTCGTTCCACAGCGTGGGCGCGGGCTCCTGCGGGCCCTCGGCTGCAAGGCCAAGGACAGGCTCTGCGGCCCAGGCTGCAGGCCCACAGGGAAGTGTCCCCACCCCTGGGGAGGTGGCACTATGTTTGGGGCTCCTGGAGCTCAGCTCTACTCCAGCCTTCCCGTCTCATGGGTGAGATGACCAAGGCTGAGAGGCCCCATGGGGCCCTGGAGCCCCACAGTCCCCAGGCCGACACGAAAACAGGTTTTTGGGGGCAGGGGTTGGGGTAAAAGGACCAAGAGCCTGAGGAAACAGCTGCGAGAGCCCTGAACTGGCAGCAGATTAGGGAACCGGGGACATGGCACCTCCTCTCTCCCAGCGGAGCCGGGGGTCCCCCATCTGAACCTGTGGGCTCTGTAGGCCTGGGTGGGGTGACACTTGCAAGGGGCCCCCACGAGGCAGACACAGGTCAGCCTTCACCCGGGAGAAGAGGCCAGGACGGTGGAGCAGGGCCCTCTCCAGGAACCGGGAACGCTGCCCCACAGGGCTGGAGAGTGTCCCTGCTGCAGGGGCTGGACAGCAGAAGCCACCACGCCCAGGGCTGTCATTCTGCTTCTCCGTGGCCCCCGCCTGGGTAAAGCCAGGACACAGGGCCCCGCACCCACACATGCCTCTGGGTGTTGAGGCTTAAAGCCCACTGGCCCTCTGTACCCTAAGGGACTGAGCCTGCCCATAACAGTCTCCAAATGAGCCAGAGGGGTGTCTGGGGTCTGTGAGGGGAGCCCCAGGAGAAGGTGGGTGCCCCCTGCCCTCCCACACAAGCTAAGGCTCACCAGCCTACCAGCTCTGGCAGAGGTCAGGGCCCGCCCACGCCTGGTCTTGACGGGACCCAGGGATGTTCTGGGAGGAGGCAAAGGTGCTTTCAGGGCTTTCCTGCCCCCAGAGCCCACCTGGGGCAGGTCACAAGGAAATACCAACCAAGCCCAAATTTGGGGTCAGTCTCCACGTAACTGGGCTTTCAAAAATGTCAGGTCAAAAGACGAACGGGGGTTGAGGAGTGGTGCCAGATGAGAGCCCGAAGGCGTGACAACTAAATGCAGCGTGAGTCTGGACAGGGCAGAGGGCCCCTGCGGAAGATGGTCTGGGCCACTGGCAAGAGCCAAGGGGGCCCGCGGTTCAGGGGACGGTGCCGCACGCTGGCCCACGCCCCGCTGTGCACAGGGGACTGGCTGGGCGAAGAACAGCCTTGTCCTCGGGCACGTGTCAGGGCAGAGGGGCACAGCCGCACCTCACTCTCAAGTGGACCGGCATCCAGACCGGCAGGCAGGCGGGGAGGTGGACAGGACAGACAGCAAATGCGGTAAAATGCTGGAAACTGGTCAATCTGTGTGAAGAATCTACTGCTCACTGGATTATTCTTGTAACACTTTTATACACTTAAGATCTTTTCCCAATACAAATGTTTACGGCTCCCCCGGCCCTGGCTGGCTCGGTTTGGAGGCTCGGCCAAGACTTACCCGAGTTGGTGCCCCTTTTCAGAAAATGCCCCTGACAAGGAAGCCTCAGTGGGGGGAGGGTGGGGGTGGAAGGGCGCCAGCACCCAGTGGTGTAGGGGTGGGAGAGCTTCCCTGTCCTGGGGCCGAAGGCTCATGTGGGGGCCACCCTGGCCCCCACCAACTGTGAAGTTGTCCCTGTGGGGAGGGCAAAGTGGCCCCATCAGGCCTCAGTGGTCACAGCCCGGGAGCTGCCAGGGAGGCTCTGGCCCTACTCAGGCTGAACTCAGGCTCTTTGTAGCTGGGCAGAGAAAAGGCCTGAGTGCACCCACTGCTTGGCAGGCCCGGAGGTCTAGGGCCCGCAGACTGTCTGTCTCCCCACAAACACGGAGAAACCACTGGCCCCCACCTGCTCCCCACACACCCGAGACAGGGCGGCAGGCGGGCACCACCCTGACCCACCACTGCCGGCCCAAGCTCACCTCCGAATGCTGGGCACCTGGCCAGGGCAGCTGCCCCGAGGCTCCTGGGGACCCTGCCCAGCTGACCTGGGAGGCATCTGGGAAGCCAGCTCTGAGCTTAGAAGGCAAGTGGCCCTCAGGTGGCCATGGGCTCACACTCTGGAGCTGGCCACCCCTGCCCTTTGCTGGAGCCCAGGGGCTGTCTCTGCAGAGAGCAGGGCCCCTGAGCAGGGCCGCGGGCAGCACACCCAGGCCCTCCCCCCTTCCCTGCCCTGTGACCAGCCAGCCTCACTGCTGCTCCCACCAGGCCCAGCTCCTCCCTGCTGGTCACACAGGCCCAGGCTCCTCATCCCTGATGAGTGCACCCTCCTCCCGCCCCTCCTCCAACACCCAACCAGTTGGTCCCTAAGGCTCTGGGGACTAAGCCGGTGGGCTTCTAAACCCAGTGCACTGGGTCCAGATCCTGGTTCCGGCACACTCTCATCGGGCCCCTCTACCCTCACTTTCCCGACCTGTGAAGGAGACGGACCAGGCCTCTCACAGCCACATACGGCAGTCATGACGCCGCCATCACCATCATCGGGGCTGCCCCCGTCCTAGAGCCCCTCCGGCATCAGCTACCTGGCTGGACACAGGCCAGGCCCCCCATGTGCTGTGTGCCTACTGCAGCTGACTCTGGCGGGAGACCCCCACAGGCTGGCCCAGGGCTCATCTGTGCCCAAGCAGCAGGGCCCGGGGGCCAGCCAGCTCCCTGGCCAGCCAGCTCCCTGGCCACCCAGGCGGGCACCCCAGCCCCCAGCATGGGAGGCTCAGCTGCCAGGGAGGGGCCGAATCACCCTCTCAACCCCCTCTAGCTGTCTCCGTGAGGGGAAACAAAGTTTCAAGGCCACGGCCCACCCTCCCCGAGGCAGCCGGTCACCCCACGCTGCCAGCAGCTGGACTGGCCACGTCTGCAGAGGGGCGAGGGAAGCCCGGGCGTGAAGGATGAACCCACAGGCAGGTGAGGCGAGCTGCGAGTCAGCCGCAGTGACGTTACGTGGGGACAGAGAAGGCGGAGGACCTAGGAGGAGGGGCGGGCTCCAAGGACCAGAGTAAACAAGGCCCTGGACTCCGTGTTCCGACCGAGGAAGGCAGCGGGAGTGGGGGCCGGTGACACAGTCCTGGGCACTCCAGGGTCTTCCCTGCCCTGCGCCCCCAGCTGCCCTGCCTGTAGGTAAATACGTTTGTTCAGCGCTCTCTCTGACCACAGGGCCCTGAGGCCAGGCGCCCGTGCTCACAGACGGCCTTTGTACGGGCCATGAAGGGCCTTTTCATCCCCGCCCTGGCCTCCCGCCTGTTCAACCTGGCCTGCTCCCCCTGCCCCAGGAGCTGTGGCCACAGGCGACCAGTGGGGAGGACAGCAGGCTGGCCTGGACGGCAGCCATGGGACCGCTCCTTTATGGCCTGTCAGCTACGGGACCCCCACCCACTGATCAGCGGGCAGGGGGATGCCGGGCCTGCTACACCCCTTCTGCAACGGCAGGAAGGAGGACAGCCAGAACCCTGAAGACTCGGGGAGGAGTTGGCCTGTCCCTTTTGGTAGGACACATGGAAAGAGGTGAGGCCAGCTGAGATCCCTGGTGACGCCAAACACGAGGCTGTTCCCCCACCCAAGCATTCCTGTGGTGGAGGACAGAGCCCACCCACCCAGGCTGTGGGTGCCCAGTGCGGTTCAGCACCTCTGGCCAGCGGCCTGGGCTGGGCGAGCTGGCTGCTCAGGGCACAGGACACGGACAGGGGCTCCCCGGGTAGCGCAGACCCGCCAGGCCAGCGGGAGAAGTGTCTCAGTGAGGTGCGGCAGGGGCTGCGAGCACCACAGTCGCAGATCCAGGCCATGGAAGATGCCACCTCACACTTCCAGCCACTTCTCCAATTCCTGGGCACCTCTCCCCCCAAAAGGGAGCTAGGTGGTGCTCTCTCAGCCTGCCTGACAGGCCTGCCCTGAGACCACCCTGCGCCCCTCGGAGGAACAGGGACATTACACGGCCCAGACATCAACTGAGTACCACCCGATGCCTGGCCCACCCTGAAAGCTGGGGTCTGGACTCAGTTGGCCTGCACTCCCGTGGGGGAGGTGGAGACACCAGGGAGGTCACCATCCTACAGATAAGAAGGGACTGAGACGCTGAGAACGGCCAGGAGGGGCCCGAAGCCAAGCCAGGCTGCCAGTTCTTTGTAGGGCGTCTCAAGCCTCCCTGCCTGTGCCTGCAGTAGGGGCTGCACACATACCCCCCAGCAACTCTCGTGGCCACACTCACCTGCTACCCAGGTGCCTCCCCAAAGCCCATGCTGCGGGGAGGCGCTCCTGCCATGGGGCACCCCCCCCCTGGTCCTGAAACACTGTCCTTTGGCCACATCACGGCCAACAGAGACTGCTCTCTCCCAGGAGAAAGACCAGCCGTCACCCCTCTGGGCCTTTTATTCTCTCAGGCTTTGAAGCCAGCCTGGGGGTCAGCCTCTCCCACCTGGGCTGCACAGCCATGCCCAGGGCTGGGGCTCAGGGGCTGAGGTCCTCGGAGCCTGCCGCCCTTGCTGGACCCCAGGCCCACCATCCCGTCTCTGGGCAGGGCCTGAGTGCCCGACCTGGCCGTTTTCCTGGTGTGGGGAGAGGGCCTGGGGCTTCACTTAAGGCTTTTCAGAAAACCAACAGAGAAGGCCAGCAGAGTTTAAAGAGGTCTCCAGCCCCTCAGCCCCTTGCTCTGGGCCAGGAGTCCCCTCCCGACTCTCAGACCTGGAAAGCTTCAGATTTTAGGGTGCTGGGATAGTCCCCTCGTCCCCAGGTAGCTACATCCCTGGCCCTGCTTTGGAGGCCGTTGTCCCTGTGGCTACCAGTCCCCGACTGCTGCCATCTGTCTCCAGGGAGCCCTCAGCTGCATCACCCCATGGCCACCCCTCTGCTGTGAAGGACCTCTGCCCCCAGGGCATTTGAGAATCTGGCCAAGGTGCTCCTTGACCCCAGGAGGCTTTGGCAGCAGGGCCCAGGGCGCAGCCTTACCTGTGAGCACCGCAGGGGCCAGGACCCCAGCGAGGAGCAGCAGTGCCACGCGCAAGGCCAGACAGAACGCCATCCTGGACCGAGAGCGTGTGGTGGCGAGCGGGAGGCACCGAGGACTGAGCTGGTTAGCTTCAGGGCAGCGGGAGAGAGGTATCAAAGGGCTGGAAGGGTTTTCATCAATGCAAACTCTGTCCTCCTGGGACACCGTGCCCGCCCCCCAGGCTTGCCAACACTGACTCTCTCTCTCTCTCTCTCTCTCTCTCTCACACACACACACACACACACACACACACACACACACACACACACACACACAGCAGAGCTAACAGAGCAGACCGCTTTCCTGACTTCTGGAGCAGCCCCACCCTCAGAGAGCAAAGGAAATTGCACCCCCCCTCACCCCAACGTGTAAGACTTGCCCAGGGAACTGGAAAACGCAGACGCCGTGGGCAGTTTCAAAGGGTCATGGTTGGGCCCAGGAATCTGCACCTCAGCATCCAGGGCCCTGGGCTCAGGCCTGGGAGATTCGGCCCCAGGCCGTTAACACTTCTGGGCTCCAGATGCCAGGCAGGGAGCGCTTTACAGCAGTTTCGGTCCAAACCCTCTTGTCTCTTTCCAGAAAAGCTCATGTCATTAAATGCTGTGTCCTCTCCTCTTGCTGTTCTCCCAGGTGACTGAGACTTGAAATGCCATCTGTATGCCAGGGACATGTGTCCCAGCCTGAGTCTGGCCCAGAACTTCAGGGCCACGGTGCCCATCGCCTCGCCGACAGCTCCGTGGGTGTCTGGCGGGCATCTCCAACACCACATCCTACAGAGCCCTGCCTGCCTGCCTCCCAGTCCCACCTGGCAAAGAGCCACACAATCAAGTCGGCAGATGTCCCTCTCCATGCGCCTTACTCCCCGCACGCCCCCACAGCTCAGAAAATGTCGCCACCACGCCCACCTCCCACCCTTCACGGTTCCCCGCTGCTCTCTGAACAAGAAGCCACCTGAGGGCTTGCCTTGGCCCTGCTCGCCTCCCCGCCCTGCTCAGTCGCGACCGTCTCAGGGCCTGTGCACCTGCCTCCCCTCTCCCACGAAGCAGCCCTTTGGGTCCTTCCTTGAGGGGCTCCCTTCTCATCCCCACTCAGGCCTCGGTTCTGACCTGTCAGTGCCCATCAACTTACACCACATCACTTTTAACTTCTTCTGAGCACTTACATTTACATGAAACTCATTTTTGGTTGTTTCCCATCTTTTTGAGGACTAACATACACACTGTGAGATGTACGTGTAAACAGCACCCAAATCCAGAGAGAACATTCCCAGTTGACTGGTGGGATCCCCACCAACCCCCAGAAGTGCCATTCTGCCTTCTGTCACCACGCATCAGTTCTGTCAACACGGGGACTTCACATAAATGAAATCACGTGACATGGACTCTCTCTGGCCCGACGTTGTGAAGCTCATCGCCAAGTAGCACTCGGATGTCTGCATGTGCCGCAGCCCATCCACCCTTGTTTCCAGTTTGTTTGTTAACTACGTTTGTTTACATGGGTCGTTTCCAGGTGTGAACTTTCACAACATGAACACAGCTCTACGAATGCTCTTGTACGTGGCCTTTGGTGAAGGTGCACACTAACCCTCTTGGGTCCTGTATCTAAGGACCAAGCTGCTGGGTCCGAGGGCGGATAGTGCTCAGGTTCTGTAGACGCTGCCGGACACCTTCCCCAAGCGTTCGTGGCACCATCAGCGCTGCCCTCCCTCCAGAGCCCTAGTCTGTAGCGGTGTCTCACTGTGGGGGAGTTCCCACGAGTGATGATGCTGAGACTCTTCCGTGTCTGCTGACCACAGGAGCACCCTCTTTCAGGAAGGGCCTGTGCGGCTGCTTTTGCCCACATATTCATCAGGGTGCCTACTTCCCAGGAGTTGTGCGTCCCAGGTAAGAACCCTTCGCCACACACGTCCCAGTGCCTCTGGATGACGTGTCCTTTGGCTGACAGCCTGTCTCTGCCACGTAAGTTCCAGCAGAGCGGGGACGATGGCGTGTTTTCCAGGGCATACCCAGGACAGAGCCTCATGCCCAGCACACTGCAGGCATTGGCACTGGGACGCGGTCGGCTGGGACTGGAGGGAGAGATTTAACCATGAGCCTTTTCTCACTGTTCACTCGTTTGTGCTGCTGGATGGCTCAGTACCCTACCTTCATCTTCTGCGCCCTGCAAGGTAACGTGGCACAGAAGTACAGTCAGACCCCAAAGTCACACTCCGGAGGGTCCTGCCAGCTGACTTCCTGTCCAAGTCTGCCAGTGGGGGGCTCTGCTGGGAGACGGAGGGTGGGGACGGAGAAGTGCCTTCCTGATGCTTCAGATTTCTGACAGCACCTCTGGCAGGGGCAGCAGTGTTGGCTACAGGAACAGTAACAAAGTGCCAGGGCGAGGGGACTGCCAGGACAGAAGGCTGGAAGGGTCCCCAACCCCAGCCACCTTGGTGGACAGGGCTCTGGCCTTGGAGTGACCTTCCTGCTCCCTGTCCAGGCTGCTATCAGCTCCCGCGCTGCAGCTGCTGATTTACGAGGAGCCTTGCTTTCCGTCTTTCACTCCGCCACCCCTTCGGACACCATGACACACTCCTGTATTAAATCTCTTCTGCTCGAAATGCCTGCAGGGGACTCTAGGTCCTGGTGCACGGCCCCCCAGAACGGTCTCAGGAAGTGTGTTCCGAGCTTGGTTTGCCGCCCCTTGGTTGAATGCAGACGGTGCTGCCGTGGAAAATGAGATCCGCTAACATACCCTGTGTTAGGACTGGGTTGTGCCCTGTGTTAGGACTGGGTTGTGCCCATTGAAAACAAGGCTTATAGGACCAGGTAAATGCTGCACTTGACATTCACAGAACACGATGATGATCAGAACAGTGAAGTCGACGGCTGCTTTTCGCTGTGCTGGTTACTCACAGGGAAGGACAATTTCGAGGACTTAAATTTTAAGGTCAGGGTGTATCCGGAGAACTAGAGCACTTGTATGTCAGTCATTTAAAAAATCTCCCATTTCTCATAGCTACAAGGCATAAACTCAGGCCTCAGACTTGCCGGGGTTGCAGAATTACAGCCTTACGTTGAATTCATAGTCGTAACGACTCTCTTAGAGGACATTTAGGGCACTGATTGGGAAGGAGACCTGGGGCGTGGACTGAGGAGGTTTGATGCAAACAAGTCACAGACTCTTCCACTCACAAATCCCCTACCTCCCCAGCCTCAGCAGCCAGCTCTGCTCTGGTCTGAATACAACAGCCTTTTCTCCTCTGAATAATAAACAACCTCATCTGTTAAGTGCCTGTTCCCCACACCCACCTGACAACCCCTCGCTGTCTCCATACCCATAACTAGAAGCAAGGCAAGCAAGGAGGCAGAAGAACGTTAAGTACACACGAAAACAACTGCTAACTATTCTAGCAAGAAATGAATGTGTGAATACTTGGTAAGATGTTACTAATTTATATGAACAGAAACCTGGGGAACCTGTGTGGGAATGAATTCCGAGGGGTTAATGAGCAGGACGTGAGTGACCTCAGATCAGGGCACACGTATCGGCAGGGACCTACTGGGCAGACTCTGAGCTCAGCGTTTAGCTCAGGCATCTAGAGCGGCAGCAGCGTGCTGAGAGAAGCTCTGAACAGGCACAACCTACTCAGTCAGGGGCATGGACCTCTTTCCTTTCTATTGTCAAGTAAAATAAGGACAACAGCCAACACAACAATAGCCGCTGGTGTGGATGAATCACAGTCATACCTGTTTCTGGCAGAGCAGTGAAATTTTTTTGGAGTGCCGTGGAATTCTGGTGATGAGTTCCTGTGGCCGGGAGACGAGAAAGGTTGGAAGCCACTGCTCTCGAAGCAGCTCTCATGCTTGGTGGGTCGGCCGTGACCCAGACTCAGCGAGTGCCCTGGGTTCAAGAGGCAGGAGGCCAAGGGCTTGGGACAGAAGGGACGTGGGACCGGATTCATCACAGGTGACTCACACTTTCACCTAAGTGACACGTGCTCGGTGAGTCCCAGCGTGCACCCCACTGAGGCGCTGAGACGCGCTGGTAAAAAGACCCGCCTCTCCAAAAAGCTCTGGGCTGTGTGCTCTGCAGGCCGGGGTGACGGGGTGGGACAACTGATTTCGGTCGGGGTCCGATGGGTGCGAACATGGCAGTGAGCATCAAAGACAGAGGGGCCACGGGAATGATTTGACTCCCAGGAGTAAACCAGCTGGGCGGCCTGTGGGTGGATGACCGGCTGTGCAAGCTCGGGCAGGTAGGTGGGCAGAAGTGTACGAGCCTGCAGTGGAGCACCCAGCCTCTCGCCTGGTTCTCAGACCCAGCACACCTTGGCGGATATTCTTTCGAGAAGAGAGAGCCCAAGTGTGAACAGCAGCCTTTGCACAAAGGCACCAGCAGCCTCGGGCCAGGCAGCTGTGCCCCGGGGAAGGGAGAGACACGTCATCAGGGGTCCCTGGACACTGGCTCTGTGTTGACAGTAGTCGCTAGCTACCCAAACTGCCACTATGCTCACCAAAGTGAGAGCGCATGGAATCGAGGGGGAGATGGAGTTTTGGCCTGAATACACCTTGGCAGATGAGGACTAGGGGGCTCGGGGGAGGCTGCCAAGGGCAGGACCCAGCCTGGGGAGGCGGAGGCATGCACAAGCCCAGGCACCACACACAGCACACGTTCCATTATTCCATCAGATTGTGCTTGAAAAAGACAAATCTAAAGTACAACTGTTAAGGATTTCACAGCAATAAAGCTGGATTTGAAATCACGAACAAGCCACACGAAAGGGTGAAAAACGGCAACACACCCTTAAAAATGGCTGACACAACTGAACCACAGGGGCTGCTGCACGACTAACCTTGCACACGCGGGGCGGGGCAGAAGCAGCTTTCCAGGTGTTCCCGTAGAAAATGACACGGTAATCAATAAATGGCACTGAACACACTTTTTCACAGACTTACAACTGCAAACCTACTTCTGCCCCACGCTAATACTCTGGTGCTGTTGGAGGTGCACCTTTAAACACGTAATTCTAGTTAGAAAGAAGCTGCCTTCCA